GTTCAGCGTGTGGAAGAGTCGGCCAAAGTCGCCCTCTTAGTGGGGCTGCCTGGAGCCCGTGGAGTTGTCCTACCGCCGGCAGTGGCGCGGGGCGGGCAATTGCAGGGCTGCGCCTTTACAACATATTTTAATCTGCAGCCAAAGGAAAAGGGCTGTCACCGCTTGCTTAGAAACAGCGCGGTTACAATTAGCGCGGACGTCTGTCCAGCCCGGCACGGCATTGCTGAGCGGTTTACTCTACCGGGAGCGTTGGTTGGTAGGGAGGGGGGGATAAATAAACATACCGACATGAACGCGTTCCTGTGTGCGCATGTTGTGCGCGTCTCGCGTGCGCGTGTGTGGAGACACGCACACACACGCGCGCGTCCGTGAGAGAGTCGGCATATTCCACGTGGGGGAATAGAAGCCCGCACTGTTACCGCAGACTGCCCCCGCTCGCTCGCCCAGCATTAGCGTCGTGGGTTTTTTTTTACACTTTGGCTCGGAGCGTTTTAGAAATAATAATAATAAAAGACAACCCCAACCAATACGTTCCGTTTTTTGTACAAGCAGCGGCAAAGCTGGGGCAATTCCTCGCAAATACTTCATGTCTCGACGACGCGAGTCGTGTTTACTCCGCGAGTCAAACACTCAAAGATGTTGTACGGCGCGGGAGGGGGGAGGGTGGGTAAATCAAACTCGGGTTGATTGATCCCCCGAGAATCCTCCATGGTGTCAGCGCTGCCATAGGAACGCAGCATGCCACCACCACCACCACCAACCAAAACCACCACCACCAACCACGCTACGTTAATGGCGTGAATTGAGTTCGAGTGGGGGGCACGGAGCTTTTATTCGCAATCCCGGCAGACGCCTTTGTCCACGCGGGGTGTATAAATGAGCGCACCACGGTTCGTTGAGCGGCAGGCCGCGTGTGGTGGGGTAAAGCGTGGGTTCTCCCCACCTCTTACAAGACGTCTCACCAGCGTGGAAGAGTAGCCCAAGCTGCCCTCGAGCGGGGAGGCCCTTTCCGCCAGCAGTAGCGCGGGTGAGCAATTGCGGCACTGCGCCTGTACCGCGTACTGGTTCACGACCACCGCCCGTGCCCGATGGTGACGAACACGCCATGGATGGTCACCGCGGTTTGCATTTCACTTCCCATTTTTAACCCGTGAAGCGCAAATGGTAACGCCGAAATCAAAAAAGTTCAAACGAACAAAGAGCACACGCGAGCGTACTTCGATGCCGGCCGATAAACCGCCAGCGATGCACGCAACAGCGGCGCTCCAGGATTGATCGCGGCGCTAAAACTATTGCATGGCAACCACTAACAAAGCGGTCTGTATAACATGCAGGGGCGAGCTCCCCCACACACACCAACATTCGAGGCGCCGGGCTGCAGCCCCCCCTAAAGCCCCCCCCCCCCCACTCCACCGAGTTAATCCGGCCCTGGCTGATGAAGAGAGGTGATTGGTTGTCTCGTGTTGAGCAGGGGAGGTGGTGGGGGGGTGAGCGGTGAAAGGGGGGCTGGGGTCATGCATTCACCGGACATTATCTGCCCCCCCCGTCCCCCCACCACGAGAGTGGGTGGTGACGCGGGGAGCGAGCGAGCGGTGCTTGATTGCATTGTCGTTAATTAGCATTCGTTTTGTAAGCTTGTACCGTATGTTGGTCTTCTTTGTAAGACAACTGTGCTAATCTGAGATGCAGGGTGGGGGGGGGGGACAACAACCTAAACACAAAAAGCAGTTCTAAAGAAATGAGTTATCCAATCGAGATTACATTTTTATTATTATTTGGGTTGGAGTGGTGGTGCGGTGGTAAGCCCACCGCACCTTGAACCCATTGACCTGAATTTAGTTTTCAGCCATACCAGGGCCGGTCCTCAGCACTCACCCTCCCTATCACCAAACGGCACTGACCAGCGTGGTGAAGTATGGTCAAGCAACCCCCATGACCGGCACACAGGTTGTATGTAATACGCTTTTTAAAACGAACAGATGTTTATCGTGGATCGCGCCAAGAAAGTAAACGCTAAATAAAAAAAATCGTTGCGACCACATTAAAGTAAAATCCAATTTCGTACAAAATTAGTAACGGCCTTTACTTACGGCACAAATAAACGGTATACATTGTAATGCACTTTTACTAAGCGTTTCCAGATGAATGAGAAGTGCATTTTATTTCGAGAAGGTCGGATTGTGTTGAATTAGAAAGATCTGACCCAGCCTGCCACAACAGATGCGTTGAATGCGAGCCAACAACGGTCCCGAGAAATTAGTCAGAAGTTAAAACCGCCCGCCCTCCCGCCCCACCTCGCGCTGACAGAGGGCAGCGTCATTCACAAGTGGCGTCCAAGCCGGCCGTGTCCCCGGCATTCCCTCGTTATTCGCGACGAGGCAAACATTCTGGAGATGCTCGTTAATAGTACATTTCGCGGCTAATGATATTGGCCCGCGAACACCTATCTTTTTTCGTGAATTACCTGAAATGAATACGTAAATAAGTGATTTAGATACGTTGAAATTATCTCATCACTTTCTCTCTCTCTCTCGGTACGGGCGTGTGGAGTCACAGATGCGATTCGCGGATAGCCACAATCACGGAAAGAAAATCCGTGAATCACGAGGGAATACTGTACTGTACTGGGTAAAGGGCGGAAGGGTGTTCGCTAGGGGGGTAACACTTGAGCTTCGTGGCAAGAAGGATCTCGGTTCGATTCCTGACTCGTGTGCCTTTCTGCACAGAGCCTATTCGTCCTCCTCCTGCTCTTCAGGCTGAGAGTGACTGGAGTTTGCACGCTCCCCCCCTATCCTGTAGAGTCGGAGTGAGTGGAGATGAAGCAATGATTGGAGCCCGTGTGCCGGTGCCAGACGGATTCCTACATCACAGGAGCGCGAGGCTGGTGACGGCTTGGGGGAGGCCTTCATCCAGCAGTGAATTGGTCGTGGCTGGTGACAGTGATGTGAAGCTGGTTGGGACTGCCCGCCCAGAGCCCGACACGCTTGCAATGGGAGCTATCCATTGTGTGCCAAGTCACAGACACATTAACCACCAGCTGCTAACGAGCTGTTTCTTAAAACGAACCCGGACCCAATTCCCGCGTAGACCACAGCACCATTTACGTTGTTGATAAAGTTGTGGGATTTTTAAGAGAGAAAACTTTGTTGAATATTTGAAAAATGGAGCGTTTCTGAGCACCCCTCCCCACCTTCCCCCTGCCCCTCTTGCCCCTCCCCCCCCCGCCTCTTTCCACCCAGCAGCACTGTCTACAAACGTGTGTGGTGGGGTGAAGTGTGGGTACTGCCAACCATCACGTGAACTCCGGTCATCCTCGCGGCAGCTTTTGGCTAGCCATGGAATAAAGACGGTCACTGCATCGTAAACTTTTAGAAAGGGGTTTGCGGCCGTCTGGAATGCTCTTCCTTCCGATACTCGGAAGCCACTGGGGCACTTTCATCTAGATTGACAAACTAATTTATTTAGAACTGTTTTTTGTGTTTAGTTTGTTGTCCTTCCTCCGCACCTCTGATTAGCACGGTTGGCTATGTATGGTGTGAAAGAAGTTCAACGTACATACGTACAACCTCTTGGCAAGACGTCTGACCAGCGTGGAAGAGTAGGCCAACGTACCCTTTATAGAGCGGCTTTCTCTAGGGGGCCGCTCTTGCGGAAGGTCGTTCCGCCAGCAGTGGCGTGAGCCAGCAGTTGTGCCTCTTCACCGTTAGAAGCTCTGCCACGTTGCAGACGGAGCCTGGCTCGGCCGGACAGGGCGGCTGTGTGTGTGCGAGGCTGCCACGTAAGAAAAATAAACAGGAAACAGAGAATGGGCACTCCAGAACAATCCCCGTGCTGCCAAGAGGCGTCACTCCTTCTCGAGATGCCGAGATGTTAACTCCCTCGTCTGGTATACGGGAGGTCGTGGGTTCAATCCCCAACCTGATGACACCTGCTGTATATTCGTAGTTTGCGGTGTCTCTCTCTCCACATGGTAGCGTGGATTTTTCTCCGGGTCCCCCAGTTTTTCCCTCCACATTTATAATCAACACGTGCTTAGAGTATTTGGCCGCTATACATTTCCACGCGATAAGCCACTTTGTTGAGCTATCATTTGTGGCCAGGCCGCTTCTGAAACAAAAGCTACGTAGCGCTCAGTAGGCCTTACCCGGTCAAATAAAAAGAGTAGTGGTAGTCGTACAACCCTCCCGCAACGCCGCCTTTCATGGCGCTGCGCGTAAAACATAGAAGGTAAAAAAAAGTGCTGCCCTGTAATTGCTTGCTCATGGCAGACGAAATCCAGTGAGAGCCTCCCCCTCTCGAGGGTATTTGGCCAACTCTCTTCTACGCTAGCCAGGCCGCGACGAAGACGGTTGCAGCATCGCGCCCTTTCAGGTGCGCTTCTGCGGCCGTCTGAAACGCTCTTCCTTCCCGATCTTAGGAAGCAACTGGAGCTGTGCACTTTATAATGACCTCGATTGAAAACTCATTTCTTGAGAACTGATTTTTGTGTTTAGATTGTTGTTCTTCCCCCGCACATCCGATTTATCACGGTTGGCTGCGTACGGTGCGAAAGAAGTTCAACGTTCGTACATGAGACTAACTTGGGTGCAACCCATTGACACTGCTGGTCGAGCGGAGGCGGCAGAGTGGGGGGGGGATTGAATCCACTTGCCCCGTTGTTTCAACTGCAACTCCAGGAAGTCAGAGCGAACTGGCGACCTCTGGCTCGTGCGTCCGGTGCGCTGACCGGTGCGCTGTTTACGAAGCATCAGCGTCGGGGAGACAAAGGCGGCCCGGCGTCAGTGCTGGCCACCCACCCCCTCGTGCGCCGTGCTGTCCGCAGCAGGAGCTCGCAAACGGCACTTGCAGCGTGTGCAGGCTGCGCACGGATGGATCTGCGTCGTTGCGTGCGTCCGTGTTTGTCTTCTCGTAACGCTACTCTGACCCCCAGTAGGTGCTCGCCAGCAGTCTACAGCGCTAACCGCGAGCTCCTCCCTCCCTGTCTCCCCGTGCGTCTGCAGTGGTGCACAAGGGGCCCGGCATCGGGGAATACTGGAGCCGGAAGGGTGATCATCGGGGCTCGGGAGCAAACTCCTTCAGCCAGGTGAGTGAGGTCTTCACGGCACAACCAGCCTCAACTTTAAACGGGGGGGAGTGGGAGGCGGTGGGGGCTGTGGGGGCCGACAACTCACAACGCTCTGGGACCCGGCCTCATCGTTCGCGACGATGGGGCAAGATCCCAATTTCCTCCATGGTGCTCATCCTCTAGCGAGTCTCACCCCTTCGCTCTCCTGGATCTCATACCACCCCCCCCCCCCGCCTGAATCCATCAGCCAGGTTTTTGTTCTCCCCCCCCACCCCCTTACTTACTCCCAGTGCACGTTTGTGAAACGCGGCGTCCAATTGTGTGGCCGCATCTCAAGACGCCGCGCGGAGGCTCGTAACGAAGTGCTGCATGGTCCGCAGATGTTACAGTGCTCGCGATATCATCATCATCATAATCATCATCGTCGTTATATTGTTATTGTTATACGTGGCCGGGGGTGGGGGGGGCAATGGGAATGTTAAAGGGACCCCCGATGAAGGAGCGAATTTGAGTTGAAAAACTCGCGACCCAACGGTCCATTCAATTGCTGATTTCATTGCGTGCGAGCCGATGAGCGATCAGGCTTCAAACGGATGAAAGCAGATTTGCTGCGGCTGTTGCAGGAGGAGCGCAGCAACTCTACTCGAGATTGCTGCTCGGCGATTTATTACATTTTCTGGTGGGAAAGTTCCACACAGAGGACATTAAATAAATGTCAACGGTGTTTGGCTCAATTTCCAATTTAACCTCACTTCTTTTTTTTTTGCGGGCTGCGTTTTTATTCTCTTTTTTTTGGCCGGGGCTGGCTGCGATCCGCGGCACACCGAGATTAACCCGACCGCTCGCCGGCGGGCGGAGACAAGTGGAAACACGCACGGCACTCCCGCAGACTTCCTTCACTTTTGGAACAGTTGTTGTTGTTGCTGCTGTTAGCGAGCGCCTATTAAGGCCAGCAAATCTAATGGCACGTTGGGGGGGGGGGGGGTGTGGGGGATGATAAAAATGTTGCCGAGCCCGCCTCCGGCTGCCTTTGGTCTTCACAGCGCTGGGTGGTGCCCGTTTGGCGACGCATCGCTTCGAAGGTTCAAATCGATTCTTACGAACGCGACGTGGGTGTTGTAATTGACACGTGAGAATCGATTTACTCGATATATCATTCATGGTATGGTGATGTCTGATTGAATCATACTTATGGGGCGAACACACACAAACACAATGAAACAAGACATAATTAAATAACAAGACGCAAACACACGAGCTTAGTAAACATTTTTTTTTATTAAATCGTGATCTTAGCGGGTGAAGCGTTGCACATCTAGTGACCCCCCCCCACCAAAGTTACCGTCGAGTAATTTTCGGCCGAGGTTGACCGAGAGGATGTTGCAGGCGAAGGTCAAATCTGAGCAACGTTGTGAATGGGCGAGGAGTTGAAGCTTTGTCGGGGAAGGTCGTAGCACCGTGCGGTGTGCGGACCACTGCTGACACCTTTGACTCGAAAATAAAATAAAACGGACACATGCACCCTAGCACAGTGGCATGAATCTACGGAGCTCTCCAAGCCCCTTTGCTGCATCGTGGTTTACAAATTGCCACAGCAGAGCCGGAAAGGCCGAGGCTGGGTGCAAATCGGAGAGACGTGTGGCTCTAGAAGGCCATGGAAAGGGTGCTGCTAAGCCACGCATATATATGTACATTAAAAAAAATAGTAATCATTTTTTTCCCTTTAAACGCAGCGAGAGCCGAGCAAGTCTCCGCGCCTGGAAGCGGAGCTGAATTAACGGACGCCCGTGCGGCACGATGATTAGAGCACAGTCTTGTGCAATAATTTTCGCGATGTATTTTCGGAAACGCCCGCGGGGGACAATGCGGGCGGCTTGCAGCGCGAATCGCGACGCGAGCGCCGTAATGTGATTAACCTCTGCAGGTGACCCCCCCCCCCCGCCCCCACCCCCCGTCTCCGTAGCTTCCGTAATTTTTTTCTTACCGCCGGTGAAAAGCTTAAACCAACGCAATTAACGGGAGGTCTCCGCAGAGGTTGCTCTTCTCTTCACGCCCGCTGCCCCGCAGCCGACGCAGTCGCGAGCCGAGATCCGCCACTCGTTGATCACGGCGGCGGCGGCCTGGCGGGGCTGGCGAGACAACGGGGCGGTCCCCTCTCAGCGCGGCGGTGAGAGCGGCGAGGAGAGCCTTGGCCAGGCCATGGGGGTGTGGGGGGGGGGTCGGTGTCACCGGAGGATTTGACGACCCGCGCGTGGCCGTGCGCGTCACGCACGGCCCCCCGCCGCGGGATGAGGGCCTCCCGTGCGCCGTGCGGGTCACGGTGGCCGTTCGAGCGAACTTCACGCGTTGGTGAAGGCGGGGAACGTAGACCGTGCCGGAGCATGGGAGTTCGGCATGACGAAATATATATATAGATAGATATTTTTTTTCCACGAACTGCCCTGCGCTGCCCAACGCGAAGCTCCGCGGCAGCCTGTAGCAACCAGTTTCGTGCGTGGTGCTCGCCCAGCCGAGCACGATCCGGCCTCGGGTCTGCTCGGCTGCCGGGATCTGACGAGAGTGGGCGCAGTCCGGGTGATTCGGTCACAGGCGTGTGTATACATGACGGTAATGCGGTGCCATTGCAAGAGATCACATGGGGTGGGGGGTGGGGGGCTTTGTCCAGCAGTGGATAGATCATGCCGGTGACCGTGGCTGTGGCATTATCGTGGCGGTGGCGTGTGCGGCCACACGGGGACGCGAGCGGGGGGGGGGCTGCTAACCTCCCCTCACCCCCCACACCCCCCCCCCGCACCCCCCACGTGCTCCCGATCAATTTCCTGTGAAGACCCCTCTAATGGTGTCCCCCTCCTCTTGCATCCCCGCCGTGCAAGAGATAACATGGAGACTTCGCGAGCGCGGAAATCAATGTCGGCTAAATGCATTGTCGGGGTGGGGGGATGTGGTGGTGCTGATGGTGGGGGCTGCCGTGGGAGCTCTCGACGGTTGAGCAAGGAGCCGCAGGGCCGCATGGCAGAAACTCGGCCGCCCCGGTTGAAACCTGGCCCGTCTACCGGCCCCGCCGCCTCGCGTATCTGAGTCCGCCACGGCCGTCCTCCGGCCGGCAGCAAACGAGATCCAGATGCGAGCGTCGTCACCACCCGAAAATTTCCATGACACGGCGCCAGATTTGAATTCGGAGAGTGTGTGGCGTTCGGCTGCCTTAAATCTTGGCCTGGCAAGCGTCACCCCGTGAAGTGGGACGGCCGACTTTCCGCACCGCGCGTGCGCTAAAGACACGCCGTCATCGTCGTCATCATCAGCCTTGATCAGTTCACTGCTGCAAGCTGCCATCCCTGAGCCGTCGCCGTGTCTCACGTTTTTTTTTCTTTCCCCGAGGCAACAATCCACGAGCCGATTTCATCATTTCCATCTCTGGGATTGACATCTCCTGAGGTTGTGATGTCGAGGTGACCGGTTGGCCCTGCGGTCAGGGACACTGAGCCGGCAACGTCGGAGAACCTTGGTTCAAAATCTGAGATTCAAGCCTACTCGCGATTCACCCGGGTTCTGCGGTGGCGCGGGATGACCGTCTCAGCCCGATCACCGAAGACTGCCCAAACTCCTCCCTTCCCCCCATGACATGCAGCTGAGCTTGACGAACGTTCCTGCGGCAGGCAATGTGGCGACGCACGGGGGGAGCCCCTGGTGTGGATTAGAGATCGCCTGTGCAGAGACCACTGGGCGCAGTTTGTTTACTCCGTAGCTCAGCCGAACAAGACAACTGACAGACGCTCAGGGCCGTTGTGGGCACGGACACAGGCACGTTGGCGTGGTGGCGTGGTGGTGTGGTGGTGTGGTGGCGTGGTGGCGTGGTGGCGTGCTGGCGTGGTGGCGTGGTGGTGTGGTGGCGTGGTGGCGTGCTGGCGTGGTAGCCTGCTGGCGTGGTGGTGTGGTGGCCGTGGTGGTGTGGTAGCGTGGTGGCGTGGTGGCGTGGTGGTGTGGTGGCGTGGTGGCGTGCTGGCGTGGTAGCCTGCTGGCGTGGTGGCGTGGTGGTGTGGTGGTGTGGTAGCGTGGTGGCGTGCTGGCGTGGTGGTGTGGTGGCGTGGTAGCCTGCTGGCGTGGTGGCATGCTGGCGTGCATGGTAATACCGACCCCGGCGCCGCGAGCTGCTGCCAACACGCACGCTCGCTCACACGTTCACCGCTCCTCTGCCCCCCCCTCTCCCCCCTCTATATTCTATGCCCACCCCATCACTCTCTGCCACCCCCCCCCCCCCCGCAATCGCCACGTTCTCTCCTCGCTGTGGCCTCGGCTTCAGACATCACAAATCAATCTGACTGTGCCCACGCCTCCGTCAGAACGCGACGTGCTACTGCTGCTGCTGCGGATTTATTTCCAATAAAATCGGCTTGGAGACGTTACGCGAATAAACCGCGCACCCACTTGGACTCCTCCGCTTCTGCCACCGTTTTGCCAAAGCGACGCCGACCACTTCTGGACGCTTTGCAGCTTCGGGTTGAAGGCGCCCTTGCATCGCCCCGTGCGTCCCTCCGTCTCCTCGGTGGGTCGGTCCGTCTCGCCATCCGGGTCGGGGGGAGATGGGGGGCCAGCATGGCTGTCGGTAGAGGTGATTCAACGTGCACGAAGCTTTGGCTTAAAGGTTGCGCTGCTCCTGGAGGACAGCCTGACTCATCGGTCGGAGGGTCACTGCCCCAAAAACGTGGGGACACAAACCGGAACAAAAACTGGAGCCCTTTGTCAATACGCATTTAGCCCTATCGGCTGCCCATTCTGTACTGTTCATTAAACACGCGCATACACTCACGCTGGCGGATCGTTACACACAGATCCATACGGGTGCGTGATTTTTTTTTGCAAACATGGAATTTTCGTCGCAATTTTTTTATTAACTTTCTTTTTTAATCTATCAAACTATGCTACCAGCCTTCGTGACGAAAGTTTTTTTTTTTTACGATTAAATGAAACCGCCGCACAGCAGACCGCAGAATACTCATTCGAGACTGAGCAGACCGAGG